GACCCCGTCGACATCGCTCGCGTCGCGGCCGTCTCGCTGCTCTTCCACGCCTCGCTTGCGCGGGAGGGCATCCGCTTGTGGGCGCAAGAGCGCGGCTTCGTGCTGCCGGCGCAGCCAGAGGGCGAGGGCTGCGCCGTGCGGTGGCTGTGCTATTCGGCGCTGCTGCGCGAGTCCAACCCGCCGGCGAGGGCGGCGGCCGGCGGGTATCACAGCGTCTTCATCGACGGCGAGGGGCGGCTCTCGTCGTGCGGCTGCCCGCCGGATCACGTCCCAGGCCTCCTCGGCCACGGCGAGGGCGTGACGCGGCTCAACGCGCCGACGCGCCTCGCGTCTCCGCTGGGCGGCGAACGCGCCGTGAGCGTGTCGGCTGGAGGATACCACAGCCTCGCCCTCACCAGCAGCGGCGCCGTCTGGAGCTGGGGCGATGAAAGCAATGGCCGGTTGGGCCACGGCGACGAGGAGGAGCAGTCGCAGCCGAAGAAGGTCGAGGCTTTTGATGGCCAGCGAGTCGTCGCTGTGGTGGCGGGAGGCGACCACAGCCTTGCCCTCACCGCAGACAGCGTTGTCTGGAGCTGGGGCTATGGAAGGGAAGGCCAGTTGGGCCACGGCGACCTGCAGGACCAGCTGCTGCCCAAGAAGGTCGAGGCCTTCGCTGGCCAGCGCGTCGTCGCTGTGTCGGCTGGAAACGACCACAGCCTCGCCCTCACCGCCGACGGCGCCGTCTGGAGCTGGGGCTTTGGAGAGTTTGGCGGGTTGGGCCACGGCGACGAGGAGGACCAGCTGCTGCCGAAGCAGATCGAGGCGTTGGCTGGGCAGCGCGTCCTCGCCGTGTCGGCTGGAAACGATCACAGCCTCGCCCTCACCGCCGACGGCGCCCTCTGGAGCTGGGGCGGTGGAGCCTTTGGCCAGCTGGGCCACGGCGACCAGCAGAACCAGCTGCTGCCGAAGAAGGTCGAGGCCTTGGCAGGGCTGCGCGTCCTCGCTGTGTCGGTTGGAGGCTACCACAGCCTCGCCCTCACCGCCAACGGCGCCGTCTGGAGCTGGGGCTATGGATTCCTTGGCCAGCTGGGCCACGGCGACGACGAGGAGCAGCTGCTGCCCAAGAAGGTCGAGGCCTTGGCGGACAAGCGCGTCGTCGCTACCTCGGCGGGAGGCTACCACAGCCTCGCTATCACCACTGACGGCGCCGTCTTTACCTGGGGCGAGGGTGAATACGGCTGTCTAGGCCACGGAGAGGACCTGTCCAACCAGCTGCTGCCCAAGAAGATCGAGACGTGGGCGCCGGGACAGTGATGAGAAGTGGCGAAAGGGTGCAAGCTCTGTATGTTTCCGCGTCGCCCATAAAAAGAAAGAAAGAAAACAGACAAGCCAAGGGAGGGATGGGAGGACGGCACGCCGCCACCACACAGGGATTTTAAGGAGAGGAGTGTGGTGCTAGCCGTCGCCCACGCCCACCCTAACCCTTGTGGTCGTCTGCCTCTTTCTATGGGTGAAATTCTGAAAAACGTGCAGCACTTCTAGCCAACATCGACAAAAGTCACTCTCTAGCCCCGCGGCGAGCGGCCCCGCCGGAGGCGAAGAAAATTTTGCCATCTAGGCGCTCTCTAACACACATTTTTGCACAAATCGACGCCTCCAACAAGCTCAATAAGTCTTCACTGCAGCACGCCTCGAGCGAGAGAATGCGTCTGTAGGCCAATATATAGAGCTTCTCGCGCGCGCTCCTCAGCTGGCGGTCCGCAGGGCCGCCCGGGCCGGGCGAGAAGCGCATCCGCAGGGCCGCCAGCCGCACCATGTGATTCACGATGATGAGCGTCTCGGCCTCGAGCAGCGTGTAGGAGCGAAGCTTGCCCTCGCACTCGCGTTGCTCGAGCCTGAGCCACTGCGCCTTGACCACGAGATAGCCCGCGGGGATGGTGTCGGTGTTGACGACCGTGTCCTCGGCCAGCGTGTACGCCTTCCCCTTGAGCACCGCCAGCCAGTAGAGCCCCTCGAGCGACTGCTCGCGCCGATCTGCGCGGACAGCGGCCAGCTGCTTCGCCTTGAGCGACGCGGCCCACACCTCCAGCGACTCCATCTGCCGCAGCTCGGCCGTCTCGCCTGCGGCACGCGGCGCCTTCTGCTTCTTGACCCTGCCAAAGACGGCGACCATCTCGCAGTCCCCCCAAAGAAGAGCGATGCACGGCGGGCACGCGCATGGAATACCGCGCCTGTGACAGGGAGCCGGTGCGGGGGTCAGGAGGGGCGCGTGACGTGCGGCAACACACGGCACACTACACGGCACGGCACGATGAGCATAACACGGCTCAATACTAGCGTACGTGGTCAGGAGACCATCCTTCCGCGCGGCGGCCGCATCCTTGCAATCCCCCGCGAACATGTGGACGTCGTGTGAGCCGTTGAAGCCATCAGCCTTGGGGACGGCAAGGGCGGTGAACTTGGAGTGCTGAAAGAAGCCGTAGAAGATGCGCTCGATCGCCCACCAGCCCTCCTTGAACGACTTCGCGACAGCCGGGGTCGCTCGTGCCTTGGCGAGATAGAGGACGACGTTGCGAGAGCCGGAGAATATGAAATTGCCCGACCGGATCGCCTCAGTGATCGCGTCGACGGCAGGTTGCTCAGCGCATCGCAGATGTTTTTGCCGTGCATTGACTCGAGCGTCCAGTGCACGCGCAAGATGCCGAATTTGGTGAGCCACTCGGCAGTCTGATGGTAGTTGTCTTTCCCATCGAACTGCGCGGCACACTGATCCGTCAGGGAGAGCTTCCGCTGGTAGTCGGGAAAGTCGGTTACGGGGAGGGCTACTACGAGGTCTCTGCGCGGGATGTGCTGGGGCCCTGCGCCCCAGTCGATTGCCGCATAGTTCGTCGTAGTAGCCCTATCATAAACCTCATATTCACACCTTGCACTTTGAAAAAAAGAAATATCCTGCTTTTGTCGAAGATCCGGAGGGTTTATCGGAGCATCACCCCGATCTCCCATGTGCCTATTCTTTATCCAAGATCGGCGTCACGCTCGGGTTGAAAGTCCTGAACAGCGACATTTCGGGCCTTGCCCCTCCCAACTACTACGTCGAGTCGAATGAGAGCAGCCACAGCAACACGCTGGTCAAGGGTAGCAAAAACAAGCACATCTTCGACGGCATGTTTTCTGTGGACGCGAAACCGCCCGTCGGACAGCCAATCGAGCTCGACCTGCATGGACTCTACTTCCACGCCTTCCACCTGCACGGAACCCGTCCA